TTTGCAGCTGTCAGGCGCGAACCTTTTTTAGCTTCCCTTCCGGCTAAGTCGCGTCGGCAAGAAAACCCCTCTAAAAAAGAAATAATCTAAAAGCACACGTTCCTAGACACGAAGTCCTTCTTGTAACGCGATGGTGGTGGTCATGCATGATAACGTAATTATCTCTTCATGTTCTTTTTCTCCCATGATACCTGTGCGGTGCTTTCACTTTCGTGCATCACTTTCGCTACGTTTACCGAACGCTATCATAACACGGTATGCCAATCCGCTGTTTCTTCTTGAGAAACAGACGAAGTCGTCGATCACCTGCGTGATCTTTGCGTTAACTTCGCGCGCGAGATCGTTAAAAAGAATTCACGATAGAAGTGTTCTTTGCTATTTCAAGTGACTTTTGCTATTTCAATACGCTTCGCGCGTAACGCGGAATCGTAATCTCTTTGAGAAGGAACAGCTCTTCTCTCTTTTCTCCTGCCGTCTCCGTCGACGTGGAGGAACGCCTCTCCGCCTTCAGGTGTCCAATTGATATCTACTTAGGTTAATGCAACGCGACGCGATTACGACACGCGGTAGCCGCGTCGCGTGCGTGTCCTATTATGTTACGTAACGTCTCTCGGTCCCGACCGCGAGAAAATTAATAGATTCCAACTTAATACGTATACGGGTTACACGGGAGAAGGAGAAGGTAATCGGCGTTGCGCCGTTCCTATTTTCTTCATATTTCTAGACGGTGGAATCGCGCGCTTATGCTACATGCTCGTCATAGTGACACTGCGAATCAATTTGCAGGCTATTAATTATTTATGCATGCCCCACCGGCTAAGTAAAACGCTTAAAGCGGCGCGGCGCGACTCGAAGCCGCCGTGCCAAGGCGGTTTTTTCTTTTTTTTTCTTTACTTTTGTAGGTTTTCAGCGGCGCGCACAGATATATTGCCTAGTTTGCCTAGGCTGTTAGCGCGACATTAGCATAGTCAAACAGCGGTAAGGGAGAGGACACGATGGAAGAAACGAAAAGACGTAATTACTCCGGAGCCAACCTTAAAACGCGCCTTCCTGTTGACCGGTGCTGAATTGACCAGCGACGTTCAATTCGAAACGCCAAACAGGAAACAGAACGTCCATCGTATACTTCCGTATCGTCCTCTTGCCATTGTCTCTTGTTTTGTCGCCGTTTAAATTTCTGAATACGTGAGCTTCAATGCAAATCAAGCCATATTTGCTTCACGCTTTATCGAATTATTCGGTTAATGCGGCTTCGCGCTGTGCAAATGAATCATTTTTAAATCCCCAAAAAACTTCATAATATTTTTGAATCGCAAATGTCACGTTTAAATAACGACGGCTAGATTTACACCGTTTCAAAGCTATAAGAAGCTCAGACATGCGATACGCGATTATCGAACGATGTATGCGATTCAGAATATCTGCGTCCCATAAAAATCAATAAATCATCGGCATCATCGTTTTAATTTTAGCCGTTTGTTAAAAAAAAAAAAGAAGACTTTATTTGCAACGCACTTTTCAGCGTAATCCTATTAATAATTCATATAATGACCGATCATTAAAATCAGCATAAGAATATTCTGTAGCGCGATTATCTGTTATGCAAACTCGGAATAAACAAACATTGTTAAATCCGCGTCTTATTAACGATTCTCAGCCTTCTGCACGACTTAGACTGCGTTCGGAAACTTCACTCGGGTGTACACTAGCATCGTTCTATCTTTGTTACTTACTAAAAATTGAACAAGGACAAAACGACGCTGGTGTGCACCCCGAGTGAAGTTTCCGAACGCAGCCTTACGCCTGTCAAGACGCACGTTCTCATCCACGATAATTCAATCCGCTATCTTCCGTAATCTTGAATCGTATAATCGCAGAAATTTATCACCATATATCAAATTTGTATTTTTGTTAGTATCCAACCTTGATACGAGCCAAAAATATTCAAGGAAAACCAAACACGAGAGCGATAAGCCTCTGTGAGATTTCTCAATAAAGCCTAGATAAGTTTAACAGAATTTCGATAAAAATAATTTTACTAAATATTAAAAATTAATGTAAAAATATTACGCGTATTTACCGTAGATGACAATATCAAGTAGATTATAAAGTGTCAGTTTTAAATATTTTATTTCGATACGATCGTTAAGTACTTTAATCACGTTTTTCACTCTCCCTTTCTTTACTCCCATTTTTATAATTATGTGAATTTTTGCTATCACGTACATGCTATATTGATGCGTCAGTCACACACACGCACACGCATGTCACGATCTGGCGCCACTCGCAATATGCAGAGCGCACACATGGCACACGACCAAGAACGTTCCATCGAACCAATAAAACCCTAGGATTAAAACTTAATACTTTCTACCTGAGATGCATTCAGTCCTTTACCTGAATTTTTTTAATGCTGCTCAACACTTTCGAAGATATTTATTATATTTATAATATATATAATGTCTATTTTTTTTGTTGGGGGAAAAACTCGCGTCATTTTTATTTTATTTACAAATAATATATAGTTATTAATTTTGCGATATTTTAAAGAAGGAGAAAAGACAAATCAAAGAAAATAAGACAAAAATCCGGATAATTCGTAAAAGGTTAATACGTGAAGCAAATTATGTATCAATCTTTGATTTTAATTTCGTTTATTAACCAAGGCAAACTAAAGAGAAAATTAATAACAATATTTTTAAGTTCTCGCTCTCTTCTGACAGTTTTTGAATATTTTTTCCAAAGGTGTGCCCATTTATTCCAAAGAAATTTTAAATACTACCTTCGGTATTATTAAAGGTCGAAATATTATAAGAGTCGGGGTACTAAAACGCGGATACGCCACTGTCTGTGCACGGTGCGAATATTCGCAGTGCGACGCCGTTGACGATAACACGACGACGTGTCAACTGGAATGATAAGGGGCTTCTCTCTTTCTTTCTCTGTCTCCTTCTGTCTCACATCGCAGAGATTTTTAATTGCGACGTTCTCTACCCGGAGGGAGTGCTGCCAGCAAACCGAGACTTGAGATCTGTTTACTTTAGCTGCCTCCTTCTTTCCGCGTTTAAGATCAAATAGTTGTACATTTCAGCCTTAGAGAGGAAAAGACGTAATGCGTAAAAAGCACGTCTAAAGTGAACAGTATTTCCGGATATGTCTAAAGATGATCACTATGTTTCTTCAAAGCTCTATAATCATATGAAAGATAGAGGGATATAAGCTAGAATTCGCTTTTTAGGCAGAAGAATGATTTCCAAAATAAATTCCGTTTTCAAAATTAAATGAATATTTACAGAAAAATTTAGTCGCACAGATTTGTAAAATAATAAATTCTTGACATATTAAAATAATTTCTATTTAAAAAGAGATATACATAAAATCATAAATTTTATTACGTAATGTTAACTTTATACGTTATCTCTCAACAAAGTGTTTTATTTCGCTATTATTTTGCTTTTTGTCTCTCCGATACGATTTACGATACGAATGTCGAAACCGACAGCGCTGAGCTCGCTGCCTGTCTCGTCTATTCGGACGTAAAATTATTTGAATTATTGTTCTCTGCCGATGTGACAAGCGATATATTCTAAAATGGAACGGCAAGTCACTCCTCGAGCCAGGCTTAATTAATCCAGAGACCGTCGATGCAACCGGACCTCAACGCGCAGCGCGCAGCCACACACGGATGCGGAATGTCACGCGAAAACGCAAGTCACGTTTAGGTCATGGCACAATTAGATCGAACGCGAGCCAGCGGCCGTCACGCGCGCAAAACCTTCCTTCAGGATGATCGCTGTTGGCGTTTCTTCTAATCGTCGCCGGAAAGTTTTCGAGCGCGCTACATATCGCGGAGAGATATTCTTTTACGTAACGTCGAATAAACAACCGGAATTGGAAAGCCCGGCAAGATAGAGTGGTCCAGCCGCTTCTTTGAGAGCCAGAGAGGAATTTAATTTACTAAAGTAATATGTTTTAAAAACATGAAGTGCGGATTATTTTTAAAGTATATATGTATAAATTTAGGAAACGATTTAAGTTATTGACGTTAAATTATTCAATCTGAAAAACTGACTAATTTTTGTGCGTTTTCTTAATCTTAAATTTACAAATGTTATTTCGATACAATGCGATTGTTGATTTTTATTTCGTGAAGCAGAAAATTAAATAATGGTAAAATAGAATTTTCTTGGTCGTTAGAATAAAAGAATGCGATTTCATAATAGTTGGTGCACGTCCATCGATAAGCGTATGACTTTTCGCATAATATGAGTAATATGAATATGGACTGTCGCCTATCTATGACGAATTCTAACAGTTGACTCACCAATTAAATTCGTTATACAACAAAATATTCACATCATTTTTAAATAAATTTCAGTTTATGGCTCTTAGCCCACTTTGTAGATCGTCTTATAAATTTCGTTCTCTTTATCAAAATAGTACCTCGTTACGTAATCGCGAGACATGATTCGATGACTTTGCGATAATAACAGAGTAGAGAATCACAAAAGGCTGTGTAACATTTTGAACAATAAATTTCCCAAATTTACCTTTATTAATCAATGAGAATCCCTTATAGAAATTTAATACTGTAAGTGATTTTTTGGTTAGTAATTAATCACTTAAAAGCACTATTAAAAGCACTGTTAATAGTGCTTTTAATAGTGCTTTTAAATGATTAATCACTAGCCAAAAAATCACTTACAGTATTAAATTTCAATAAAAGATAATTTTTCTTTTTCGTTTTTGTTTCAGTAAAAAATAAAAAAGCAAAAAATAAAAACGAAAAATACAATTACAACGAACGTTCATGAAGGGTCAGTTATTGAAATAAAACGAAACTGACGCGTAACAGAGTTGCTAAAGAATGCTCAACATTGTCGCAATTGGAAAATGATACTTATCCCCTTACGATCCTCCACTTGCAGATATAACAACGGGAATGATACGATAATGTGACGCATGCAACGGAGAGGAATAAAAAGGGAACAGGAACGCACCTGCCAGGCCCATCGTGAGGACTCTCTTTTTCAACCGGTTGGTCCGTGCCGGTCCCCTTCGATCTCGATCAATCGCCACTCTCTCGATCACTATCGCCACGCTGGCGACGTGTTTACTTTCTTACCGGCTATCCGTTCGCGATTCAATTGAGAGGTCAATCCTCGATTAATTTCGCCGTTTCCGTCCGTTACCGATTATTCCTTTTTTTCCTCTTCCCCCCCCCTCTCTATCTCTCTCTCTCTCTCTCCTCTCGATGTTTTTCTATGAATACGTGAGGCGCGTATTCATGCGAGATGACAGGAATCCTTCATGGTTCCACCTGTCTCGGAACTGAACGATTTTAACGTAGTGACGAAAAATTACGGGATGACGAACGGGAACGCGAGCGGTGACGATGATAATCACGACGGCGTTAATGACCTTCGCCAGACACCACGACGGCGGTCCGGTGACGACTGGCAAACAGCTGTAAACGTACGCACGTTTTGCCGTCGTGCCTTGCTTGCCACGGTTTCCCGATGGTGGGAGGCCGGAGCCGCGGACGTGAGCGTTTAACGCGATCGTGCGCTTCGTGAATCTTTTCGCGGGTCTTTCCGGATTTCAGAGATACTTAAGATCCTGAGAGATTGTGGAACCAATTTTTTAATGGTCCCCCCCTTCCTCCCCCAAACGAGGGGGCACGCAACTCCGCAACTGTCAATCTTTGGAAATATTCTCAGGTGCGAGATTACACTTCAGCTTCGTATCTTTCAACGATCTGTGTATATCCCCAGAGATATAACCGCGAAATAAATTCAGTAATAAAAAAATATGTGGTGATAAGATCGGAATGATACGATATTGACGATCGTTTAATCTCGCTCGTTCATCTGACCAGGAACGTCGATATCCGCGCTCTGCGCTGTAACGAAAAACAATTTGTTACGCGAATGCAAATCGAAAAGTTCTTTGTCCTTGCCACGACGGAGACAAGAAAGCGTGTCGTCGTTATGCTACCTATTTATTTATGACGATTCATCATGGAGCCAGGTGGTTTGTCAGATGACATTACGTCATTGCGTCTTAGGAACTGACGCCTGAGATCAGATGCGCGCAAACTGCATCGTTCTTTTTGTGCGAGAGCCTGCGTGAGCGTCGGAACCGGCTAAAAATACAGAAAATGGGTTTTGCGTTGTCAAAAATATACATATTGCCTCTCGCACATGCATATATGTATCTCATTCATAGATCATGCTATAGATATCACGTTAAGAATCGTTACTTGGCGCGGGATGGTTAATTAACATGCGATTCATTAACAGTCACTTACAATAGCGACAAAAGATCCTCAAGAAAATGTAAAACGAGATTAAGAATTCACGAAATCCTCCAAGAAAGCTCTTTTCGAAATCTATTCTAAAATATTAATACGAAATGAAAATTTTACAGATACAAATGCGTACGCTTGAAGCAGAACTCGTTCGTTTACGAAAGAACAATAACTTCCTTAATTTCGTGCATCTCTGTTCAATAATCAACTCCTTCCGACGTTTTCCCGTGCGCATCGCTGTGTCCGAGCTGTTCGTTATTGTTCGTTATTTTTTCTCCATCGGCACGGCTGACTCCCTATCTGTTACTAGACAGCTGTGACAAAGAGACTGCTGAGAGTGCTCGCGATTTTCGCGCAAACACAAGCCACGGAGGACGACGTGTGTAACAAAGCTCCTGCCGGTTGGACATACGCAGAGAAAGAAAGACGGGAAGGAAGAGAGAGGAAAGAACCGAAGTGAGTCAGTTTCCCTGCGATAAAGCACAATACAGAAAGCTCCTGTTCCCGCATCGACGGACAATGAGACAGCTAACGAAAGTGTGATTCATGCCTCCGTTTTCTTCGTGTGTTCGCCTCCTCCTCCTTTCCACCCCGCGTGATATACTTATTAGCGCTCGTGCTTGTGTGCACTCGGTATCACCGGTGGCGGTGTCGCATTGTTCGAAAAATCTGCGGGGGTGACGAACGACGACCGCGATAATTCCGCGAGCGGGCCGACGGGTACCGAGAAAACAGAAATACCGGCGTAGTGCAATGAAGCCGCCAGTATCTTTGGATGTCTGCCTTGTGTATTTTTAGATTTTCGTATCGTGTCATGCGTGTTGTATACGGCTGATTTGTCGGGCGTTAATTGCGAGATAACCGCGGTAAACGTGAACAACATTTCGCGGTGATATAATCGACGGAGCTATACCCTGCGCTTTTTTTAAACAATTTCATATCTCTTAGATAAACGCCCATCGATTTGAAATCGATTTCATCGAGTTTATTATTGGATGATATACACATCAGTCCACGCTCGAGTTGCGTGGGCATTTGGAAAAAGGATTTTTCGAAAAGTATAAACATGTTACACTTTCAAGCACGAATCTGATAAAAAAAAACAACAACGGCGCAATATATCTATGTATATTAAAAATCGACAACGTCGACTTGAGAAGTCTAATAATAAACATCACTCAAATGATAATGTAATCGCATTTAACGGAGGAATCCGTAGAATTAATGGTAGTTTACATCTGCCATTAGATAATTCGTCTATGTGTACAGTTAACGTAAAAAAAATTGGTATCTTATCCCGTGTGTAAAGAGATAAGATAAGATGAAAAGATACATTTTCTCAATAATATTTTTGGCAAGTTTTTCAAACTGCGGCAATTGTCGATGCAATTTGTTGCAGTACGCACAAGCTTAAATAATAGTCGAATTATGATGATACTTGGAATATTCGTTATTTTTTCGCCGATGATCGGAAAAGTAGATTTGCATAAATTTTAAAAGATTAAACATTTTTTGACAAGCAAATACGTGGTGTATTTTTTTAGATCTCAAAATCTCGGATACTCGCAACTCATCGCGTCGCGTAAATACTTGACGCGAAACATTACCGTGTCTCTTGATATCGGATCGTTTTTTTTTCTTTTTAGCTGTGTGCGAGAACACACCGTTTACGTCAATACAAATAATTTAAGAAATAGAATCCAATCCAAGGAATTAAATTGCAAATGTTAAATTCCATGTAATATCCCTGTAATATATCCATTTACGATTTTTTTTAAATAAATACCCATATCTGCAATATTACAATATCCGGCTTTCAGCTTCATTTCTTTTTTTTTTAAATTTAGCAATCTTAGATTACTGGAGAGAGAGAGAGAGAGAGAGAGATTTCGGTGTTTTATTTATGATCGTCAAAACCGTCGTAAATTATGTGATACGACAATCAAAAAAGCGAGATATTCGTAATCTGTTTGATACACGTGTAAGTGCCACTGCAATAATAATTGATAACAGATATGAAACTATAAGTTAAATGACTAGATAAAAAGATAAACCATTTTCCGAATGAAAGAAAATATCGACTACCTATAAATTAACTTATAATCCTCAGAAAATTTGCTGTATCTTTTAAGCTTCTGTTTCTTTTACTACAGCATTTCACTCTCTTATTTTTTTTTCAATTTTCCGCTCTTTTTCAAGTTACCTATATCATGTAATTCTACTTGCGCAGCATACCCATAACTTACGCGTCAAAGAAATACTAAGACATCTTTGAATGCGATCATCACGCGTGATTTTCCCCCCTAAAAAAAAGATCACACTTTCTTATTATTGTACAAACATGAGAAGGTACTCACAGGTCCCAAGATATTCACAGGTACCGAAATCCAGATCGGGCTGAAATATGTCGAAGGAAAAGGCCTCGTCGTCGAGTTTCATCGCGGAGCGTTCTTTTTCGCTGCGTTTCGTAGTGGCAATCGTCGCGGAATAACGAGAACGAGACCACTCTCGAATTGCAGACGAAACGTCGAATGCGCGATCACTACCAGTACGCGTTTCGTAAACAGATCGGCGTATGATGTATGGTGCACTGTCGTCATACGGATCCTAGCTTCTAGTCGTTGACATGACCCGGCGCCGTCACTCGGTATTGAGAATGTAACTCCGAGAAGAAGCTACGCGAAGTCACGGAGGAGCTCTACACGACGGTTTGATCTCGACGAACGCACTAAAGTGCGGGATAGAATTTTTCGTTTTGAGAGATCGCTGGGGTAGACGGTGCTCGCAGTGGGAAAAGAGGAGGGAACGGGAGGGGGGGAATGACTCGGAACTGATAATCTAATCTTGTCCTGCTCGCCGTTACACTTATGCACATACGATGCATTAGGTTCGTTGGAATGTTTTCCTCCGAAACAATTAAAGAAAAAGGGAGAGCAAAGGGGGAGTGATTGATGGCTGGTCCTCGCAAAGAAGGTAAACAATCGAACACTATAATAATACAAATAACGTCGGATTAACGGCGTAAATATATAATACAAGCAAACACTTTAAGGATGAATCCGCATGGAAAGAATTTACTTTTTGCTCTAGAAGAATTTATCTTTAAAATTAGAGACTATAAAATGGTTCTTAGTAAAATGTAACTCTATTTTTAACCCTTATTATAGAAATGTAGTTTGTAAACACTTCATTAGCCAACCGATACCGTCTAGTTTTAGCAAATATCATTTTTGAAGTTTTTTTTTACATTATTTAATCAAATAGATACACTAAAAAAAAATTTTTTTAATATTTAAAAATATTTATTTGAATAATCCTAACAACATATTTACTTAATATAATCACATATTTATATAGAATTAGATATTTTTACTTAATTTAAGTAAAGATATCTAATTCCAAATATTAAGTAAATATGTTGTTGGGACTATTCAAATATATATTTTTAAATATTAAAAAAATTTTTTTTCAGTGTATTAACAAGAATTTGTAACAAGAAATTTGTTAGAATGAAAATCATTCTTTAAGAACCTGAAGCACTGTGACATATTGTTCAAATAAGAAAATAAAAATATATTATAAAATTATATATCAGTTATATTAGAAATTCTGTTATTACGTAAGAATACTTATGTAATCTCTTATACAATATTACTTAAAACAATTTGATTTGAAAATTTGAGGAGCCACAAAAATACATCCAATTTACTCGAGCTGAAGAAAAACGCGTTCCTTTATTTTTACATTTGCAAAGCAATGCGACCCATCAATTTTTTCAAAACAAACGGAACGTAACTACGAAATCCAACTACAAATTACTGAAAAAAGAGCTCTGAAGTATCGAAGTATGTAGTTATATTAGTTCGTGCTGAAGGAGGACACGCGCGTTTTTGGTGTTTGTAGTGCAAGACATTATCATATGTAATGTCAAACATTGTAAAAAGCATCAACGACGCGTATCAACTTCATACAACGACGGCTCGTTCGCAAGATTATGTAAATGATGATCATGCGAGAAAAACATGGCAATCAGTGTACGATAGAATGGCGTCTGCTAGCTGCAACCAGGTCGAAGAAGTAAGTGCTCGTCATGATTTTTTGCCACCGCACACCCGTCATACCAGCTTCTCCTTTGCGACAAAACAATATTTCATTTTTCAATGTCTCTTTGGCAGTTTTTACGAGTTTTATAAGTGTTTTTCTCCGAAGTGAGAGATCGTTTTATCAATCTCTTCCGTATCCCTTCCCTTAATGTTCCTTTTCCCTCCTCGATCCGCGAAACACTTATTAGCCGAATAAAGCCCCATTTAGACGTGACCATTTCAAAGAGAGCTAATATGTTTTCTTCGCTAAAAATTTGTATGTAATTGCAAATACTTTTTACGATTTTTTATACAATAACTGCATAAGTTTTAATTATAAAAATATGTCGCGGTAACAATAACTGTAAAAATGATATCAATGAGTCACGCGTTCATCCGTATTCGAGGCGTTATACAGCCAGCGTAAGATAAGTCCTTACAATGATACATCGAAGTGACCTATCCTAACATCACGCATCTACTATAAGGTTCAGGTTGCATCGATTAAAACTGTGATCGACAGCCAATCGACATCGCGAAAAATTAGCAGTGACGTTATATTATACATGTAAATCGTAACTTTCGAGGCAATTTGTCACGTCCTACGGATTATCCCTCGCCGTACTTTTCCAAATGAGCTGACGTCATGTGCTCGTGTTCCCGTGACAAACGTGTCCGAAACCGCAAATCGCGATACGTTTCCTATTAAGCGAAAATAACGTCAGGTTAGGTATAATAGTCAGCATTATACGTAACACTGCATAATATCCGTGAGTATTCTCGG